TCCAAGCCTTGCGGGGGCATCCAAGCCTTGCGGGGCTATGCCGTCCACTGTTCCCATGATGATTCCGGGGGGAGTGGAAGGGATTCCGCACCTCCGTCGGCGACAGCAAGCCATGCAAAGCGAAGGCTCTGCCCACGAGATCCTCCCTCTTCACGTCCACCGCGGCATCCTTGGATTGGCTGATTCGGAAAGCTGGAAAAAGCAAACACATACAGTACCAAGAGAGGTTCAGTGACCTTATAGGAGCCTAGTGGGGTACTTATGGGATAGTCTATAGATAGGGTTCTTCAACCTCTGTTGCACCTGAAAACCGTACAGGCCAGGCATCTGAGAAGAGCGACTGTGGAGTGTCCAGGTGGACATGCCGGCTTAGCGCATCATACACAGAGTGGGGCTGCGTTTCTGGCGCTGCCACAGTCTCCTCGCCCGAGAGCGCCAAAGAGCAAGGAAACACATCGGAAAACAACGCCAGCAGGTTCGACCATGCATGTCTTTCTTGGTTCGATCCATATCCAGGTTCTTCTGTTCTGCGAAGTATGGCTGCTCTCTCAAAAACAGAGGCAGCCCAAGCGCGGCCCCAGCCTTGGCAGGATCGGGTGACTCCTTTTGAAGCAAAGAACTGGCGAAGGCCTCCATCTCCTTGAGCTCGGGGGTCCGAAAGCCCATACCAGGATGGGACCACTGCGAAGTGCCCAAGCCGGGATGGTGGTAGTAGGCTTCTCCCGATTCCTGGGCTGGATGCGGTTGGAACCTTCTCCCCAGTGATGCGGGTTTGATGGACAAGGTGATTCTTTATCTGCAAGAACGGAACAACTATGCGACCGTAGTTGCGGGATAGATTTAATGATCGCAGGAGAGAGATGTGGTTGTATTTAAAAAAGGACTCCATGCATGGTCAAAAAAGTCAAAGCACAAGAAATTAATGCTGAGACTGACAGTCAAAATGTGGGATTTCCATAGCGCACGCTCACCTACAAAAATAACAGTCTGATGTGATCTAATCTGAACATGATTCGAATGGTATACCTGGACACCCCAAGAAGGTGTTTGGGCTGCAAAGGGGTTACCCGGCAGCCGTTTAGGTACCAGGTACCATCCTGTCAAGGTGGCGCCGGGCCATGTCAAGATTGCTCAACTACACCAAATCCACAAAAAAGGACGGGCTTAAACCACAACTCAAAGTTGACCTCAAACATAAATGCTAAATAACATCACCAACCCACTCAAACTGGCCTTAAACATAAGCATGCTTTGAAACACTGTGACTGTCCCAAACTGCCCAGCTGGCTCCCAAACTGCCAGGCTTCAGTGCAGCAGGCCATCCATCCTGCCGGCAGCTTGCCTGAGAGCACGGTGAAGGCCTTCTCCTCTGAGACCTTCAGCTGCTGCGCTGCCAAGCGAACTTCAGCCTCTGCGGGGCAGAGGCGCCTGCCACCGCCGTGCGGAGGCCGCGGTGGCACGAGTCGCGGTGCGGCAGGTGCTGAGGGCGGAGCCATGGCGCAGTGGCGGAGGGCTGTAGGTGCGGCTCCAGGTCCGGGAGGTATTTCGAGCACGGGGGGAATCAAAGGCAACAAAATACTGCTGAAGAAGACGGGCTGATCTTCCGAAAAGGACACTTGGGAGTTGAAGGATCGAACGTCAAAGGTACCAAAACTGAGCTGATGATTCAGTTAAGGAGGACTCCAGTACGGTGATCGGCAAGGGGAACACCGCCGGACATCAGTGACACCAGTCCCCGATGTCGAAACCTGAGATGAACACCGACAAATGCAAACAAATGCCCCATAGTTTGCCTGATACATCGCATCACCGGGAAAAAAACAACACCAGGACCTTCCCAGTAACCTTTTTGGAGTCCCTAAGTGACCGTTTACAAGTGACCTCAAACCAGGGGATCAAAAGGTCACTGGTAAAAAACAACAACTACTACAGTCCAAAGACCTCATTGTTACCGGAGCTGATCATATCAAACTTCTACTCAATGAGGTAGAGTCCTTAGAGGACCCGGGATTTTCGGGGTCTTTGGACCTGTAAGGACAGGGTGGTTTCAGGATGTTTCAGCATTGCAACGCGCCAGTGATAATCTTCTTCCAGAACAATCGCGGGGTTGGTGGCCCAGCACGATGGAGTCAACGAATGTTCCAAAGGGAGCAGCGGTCTTTGGAACTGTTCTTCTCCCCCAGTGAGTGCCATATATACCTATATCTACAGCCAGGTGACCCCGCACGCAAGCAGCTGGCATGGAAAACAACCACCCTTTTTCAAAAGTCGAGCTTTTCTCGGGTTCATGAGCAAGTAGCAGGATGATGATATGGCTCGCTCCATCGCACCGGGTGTCTTTCTTGGTAAACATGCGAAGCTCGCCACAGGCTGCAGCAAGGTACCCAGTTCCTGGGCACGATGTCCAGGTCAGGCTCCCCATCTTCCTCATGTGCCAAGATCATCTTAAGAACCAAAAACTCTCCAACCTCAAAGGAATTGAGAGATTCGAAGCCAGACATGCTGGACTGTATACTGCCCCCATGCAGACTAACACGGACCGTGAAAGTGGACCACTATCCTCATCTACTGCCTCAGGGGGTTCAGGGTAGAGGGCGGCTAGTCTGGTCCAAAACCACTTCTCCATGCCCTACACAAGGACCTCATTTTACTGGAGCTGGTCATCTTATACAAATTCTACTCAATGAGGTTTTCAGGACCTGGTTTGGAGCTGGGTTTTTGGACCTGTAAGGCATACGTTTGAGGGGTGAGTCTCTGGGCTTTATCCTTGGACCAGGGTCACTGTTCTGCAGCAAATGGAGGACTTCTGAAACACCAGCGGGTTTGGAAGCAAAACCGGGCAATGACTTGAGAAGAAACACACACAGAATGCTCGAACCGCTTATCTACGCCAAACCAAAAAAGCGTCTATGAATACGGTTGCTCCAAGGATTCTCTTCGCTCAGCCAGGGCTTAGCGACCCCCCCAATGGATCCCCTCCCCCGCTGCGCCCGCATCGCAGAGCGTTTCTTTTGGCATCGTCGGCTTGAAGCGCCACGTACGCGCGGAGGCACGTGGCGCTTCCACAGGCACGCGCGGAGGCGCGCGGGGAGGCAGAACTTGATCGGGTGAGAAGGGGCATTGGCGAGAAGGGGCATTGGCTGCCCTGTGCTTTTGGGAACATACGTGAAGATGTTCCTGGAAACCCTGACCATCAGAAAGAACTTCTTGTTCCAATTTGGCCATGGAGATGCTGAATGCCGTCTTTCTTTTGTTCCACCCTCCTCTTTCGACGCTGCGCGAAGTCACCCCGCCAGACTCGAGCTCCGGGCGTGGATGGGGCGTAGCGAGCCGAGAGTTCAGTCTCTTGGATTTGCTGATTCGGTAGCTTCTAGCTACGTTCGTAGCTTCTTGTTACTACAGGTTTTGGCCTCCAACCTACTAGAAGCTGGCCTTCATTTGCTTATGGCGGAAGCCCGGGACTTGCGATAAACAACTATTCCTCAGGTTTTGATGGGCATCACAGTATCATCTCCTTGGATTTGCTTCAGGCTTAAGGGACCTGGAACCACTTTCAGGTGATTGACTTAGGAACCGGCACAATCCCAAATCGACCGCATGAAAAAACCGCATGTCACCAGGATCTATGAATCGGAACATCTCGCATGACCATGGTTTGATATTTGTGGGGGATTTCCTGGCCCAGCAAATTGTTTTGCCCTGAAGTTCCTGGTGTTTCATTGTGTTTCACCGAAGAACCATATATATATGGATTTTACACTACAAAACTAGGTCAACCATTATTTTGACGACGGTCTTTGAAGGCTAGGGTTCAGTCTTCCCTATACTTCCAAGCAGATTCAACATGATTCAACGGTCTTCATCGAACAATGTTGTTTTATATTGTTTTACTAAGGGTTTTAGACAACAGAACCAGATCAGCAATTTTTGTTCCGGACATGGCCCACATCAAAGCCATTCAAAGCCTTCGACTCGCTCGGTTTCGACTCGACATGTACGGTACCGTTGGCCCTGGGCTTCCGCCGATTGCATGGTTTTTACCGAGCAGCACCCATCAAAAAGGGTTTTGCACTACAAGACCGGGTCACACTTTTCTTTTGGTGGTTTCTTTAGACGACTATAGGGTTTGGTCTGACCTACGTCCATTCCAAGCGCCGTGGCACGAGCATCCGAGCGATATGCTCCGACCGAAACGGTCGGACTGGAGAGAAGAGTGAGAACACCGGACATGGCGAAGGCCCCTGTCTGAGAAAGTGGTAACGTGGTCTCTCAGCATGCTTAGAGACTTGTGCATCGATGATTGGAAGGAATCTGCAACATGACCGACCAAACATGGGTTGATGGACACCTTTTGTCGCCTGCAACCAAGAGACCCTGTCAGGTCAGGGGGAGTTGGCCGGCCGAACAAATGCGTCAACCTGTTTGGGTGTGGCACCTATTAATGATATCCCAATGGATTGTATACTGTATATTGCATGGACGTATCCATCCTCATTATCAGCATGAAGTGATATTCTTGAACTGACTGTTATTGGTCATGGGGCACACCAACAGCGAAATGCCCAACCCAATCAAAACTCTATATCAGCCCAGCGCCCTCTAACTCTATCAGCCACCACTTCGGGGGGAAAAGAAACAGCTCTACCCAAACGCTCCTTGCCCAGTCCTTGGTCCCTCCAAACCTAGGGATTTGAGGCCCGGACCCCTCCATATGAGGGTCCGATCCCTCCATCATATGAGGGTCCAGGAGCGTCTGGGCTCTAGGAAAATCTTTGGGTGCCTGGCTGAGCTGCAGGCGCATGCTGACCATCGGAGCGCTTCGCTCAAGCCACCAGTCCCAAGTAGGGCTTAGCTGTCGGCACTACTTGCGGGTCTGGTGTCAAAGTTCAATGTCCATGAAGTGCAAAACAGGTGCCATCAAAAAGAAAGGCTTGCCAAGATCACCCGCCAGCATATTGACCATCATCACCGCGATCCTCATCTATGTTGTTAACCTTTAGCAGCTCTTTCCGTAATCTCCATGTGCCCTCGCCATGCACGCAATCGGAAGACGAAGCCACCGCCCTTGGCACTACAAGAGAGACAGCAGCTGACAAGATCTAGTTTCTAGGTCGGTAACATGTGGAAAAGGAGCTTCACAGTGGCTGAGCTAGGGACTAATACGGCCAGTTAGAGACTGATCCAGCCAATTAGGGACTGATCCTGATCCGGCCAGTATGACCAATTTGCCCCTGAAGCAAAAACGCAACCATCTGCATTTCAAAGGACAGCCAGCAACATGGTCTTTTGGTGTCTTTTCTAGGGGACTCCCCCAAACAAACACGAGAACGGGAGAACGGCCGGTCTGACGCATGACAAACTCGTGATCATCACATCTCAAAGCCCAAGGTCAAACATCATATTATAAACTTTCCCTATAGTACTATAGGTCCATGGCCTTGTTGTACTGAGTCCGGGATCATTTTTTTTTTAAGAACTGCTCTCCATCTTGGGTTGTTACTGGGTCCGGCTCGCTGGATCGGTGGTACCTTCCATCGATGGTCAGGTGGGGAGGTCAGGGAGGATCAGGGAGGATCCGGAGGTCGGCTTTCACTGGCATGGCGTCAGGGCATCGAAGGCTTGCTCGCGCGAGAAGCTCTCTTTGGAGAGCTCCATGCAGTCACTGGAGAAGGGTGAGCAAGCACAAACAGCTGCCGCACCAGCACCTCACGGAGCATGCTGATTACCCGGCGTGGCCGTCGTTCTTCAAAGACTTCAAACGCACGCGAATCGAAGGGAGGGTTTATGATTGTGAGTGCCTGCATCCTAAGATGGAAGGCACCTCACTGATCGGCAAGTATGGCAGCATTCGTCCAACAAAGAAGGTGGAACAAGGCCCTGTGGAAGATGATGTTGTTGGCACAAAGGAACCCATTCCATCAGCTTCCATGGTAAGGGGAGGGAGGGTAAACATTTAGGACGAGAAGGTTTGTTGACCTGGTTGACCTTTCAAGACCTTGAAACATACCTAGATTTTCCAACTGCGCAGAATTTCAACCTTTTCATGCATCTACAACAACCAGCCCAAAGGCCATTTTGCGTTGGAAGACCGATCTAGGATGATCTATGTTTCCTTTTACTGAAGACCATCAACTTCGCTTCTGACCTGCCCGCGACAGACCTACCAGCAGAGGTTGAAGAACCCTATAGACTATCCTATAGGTACTCCTGTAGGGTCCTAGTTCAGGTCACTTAACCTCTGTAGGTACCTCCGCCCCAAAAGCAAGTCGCCCCAAAAGCTGCGCGTTCGCTCTTCGAGGAGCAATAGACCTGTCGCTCCTCCATGGGCGGCATGCGGGTCCAGATCCTCGGGTGCGGTCGACGGTCGACCGACCGGTCGACCTGAGGTCCCGGTCTTCTTGGCTCCAGGAGGTGAGCTCCTCGGAAGGTGTGACTGGACCCTCTAAAACCCACCCCGAAACACCTTCTTAGAAGGTACTTGGGAAGGATTTGGAGTCACGTGTGCCCGCCGACTTCTTAGTTGAGTGGGGTGACTAAAACTCTCTGACCCCCCAATTCGGGCTGGAAATCCCTGGTTGCAAGAACTGTGAAAAGAACGGTGAACCTGGTTCCATCTGTTGCATCTCCCCTGCTCCTCTTTGTGAGGAGAACATCGCAGACACACTGGTCTAACGACGTAAAAGCTCTCAAAAAGAAAACGGTGAAACCGAACGGCATCAAGCAAGGCAAAGTGACAATGGAAAACTCCACGTGGCAAGATTTTGACTGCAACCTTCCATGAGGATATGTGCGAACTTCTCCAGCTCAGTTGTACTAATGAATGGTCGTGCACCAAAAATGGCTCCTTTTGGCAACGCCCGTCCACATTTATAAGCCTCTGTGGATCGATACACACCAGGAATAATTGACTGGCCAGGGCTCGAGAGTATGGAAACCACGGAGCGTTTAAAGTGTTTCAGGGCATCGTTGAAAGAGGTCCCTGTGTCCGTAAAAGCTTGGAAGGTATATCCTCGCCTCAGAAATAAACACAGCAATTCAACAAAAGCCACACCAACTGCATCATCTTTTTGCCACCGAAGGGAAAGCAGAAAACGCACAATGGTTTGGAAATCCTCTTCCCCGAACCGGCTTTTCTTGTCACGCTGTACTGCTGCTGGAGCGGGAATCCAGTCAAAATCATCGATGCAAGGTTTCCAATTCCAAGATGGGAACCGGGCAGAGATGAAATCGGAACCGTCAGCACCAATTTCTTCCTTCAACTGTGAGACTACTTTTAGTGCACATTCGTCTCCAATTTGCTTGTTGAGCATTGCAAGTTGTAGCTGGTGTTCAAATACTCTATGTTGCAAATGCGGATATAAGGACGGATCGATGGCGGCATTTTTCCGTGCCTCTTCCTTTGCCACAAAATCCGCACGCTGGTTGCAAAGTATCTGCTGTCTGGTCAACCCGGCTTCCCGAAGCATCTGCTCTGTCCATTTGTATTCTGGAATGTTATCAAAGGCATGGGCTTTCATCCAACGGAGCTGGATTGGTTCCGTTTGGCGATGAACGCGTTGACGCCACACATGCAAAAGCCATTGCCACCATCCTTTATGACTCCAGTGGTCATCTACGGCATTTTGAGAAACTAAGTCGCTGAATTGTGTAACCACTGTCTGGCAATCTGTCCAGATGCGTAGCCTGCATTTCGAGAACAAAACTGCTTGTGTGATCGCAAACAATTCGGCGGTATACGAGTTCAATGTCACATGATGCACCGGGCCGGAGCAAACAATGCTACCACTTGAATCAATCACAGAAAACCCGGCTGAGGTCAGCCAGAAGCACTCCTGCATAAGTACTGAGCCATCTGTCCAAAACTCTGTCAGGGAGGACAGATCTGAAATTTGAGCTGCTGGCGGGATTTGAGTTTGGCATCGCAGTCGGTGGTTCACGATCTCTACTGGATGCTCACAAATACCAAGCAGCTGAAAGTTCACGCCCAGCTCGTGCGAAGAACTGGCCCGCAGTTCTGGCGAGGCATTGGGGCACTCAAGGATAATGTGAGAGAGACATTCCTTAGTCTGAGCACAAAACCGACACTCTGGTGAATCTGCAAAACCGGCAGCAAATCGACGGTCATTCGTGATCGTGCAGCCTACTGATTGCGAATCAAAGTGAGGGGTTAAGTCGTCTTTTGGATGTACAGGGATTTTATATCTCTTTTTGAAAAGGACACTTAGCGAAGGGTCCAGCATTCCCTTGGGTCGGAACAGGTCCTTTCGTGGTTTATCACAAGAGTGTTCATAGCAGGCTTGTTTTCCTAATACATAAAACAGTTGCTTAAGATCACAAAAAACCAATCTCGAGCACGGGAAACCGAATGTCAGCGATGCCTACTGACATATCCGGAAACAGTGCGAAGTGAAAGATTTTAAGTGAGGATTGCACATGAAAAAGGTACGAATGTTTGTTTGTCATGCTGTGGTCAAACAAGGCAGTGAGGCGACCCTTTTCATGTGGGTTTCTGTGAAGGAATCTCCAGAAATTTCTAATGGCCGAGAAAGCTCTCGCTGTGCATGGTTCTACAAGGCAAGGTTGAACCAAAAGTGAGAAAATCAGCATTTTGGACCTCCAATTTGGCCTGTTTTTCCACAAAGCAGTTGCAATCGAAGATTGAACCCGGCTTAGGGCACTTTTTGGAAGTGCCGCTAATTCAGCAGCATAGCTGCACTGTGGAATAACCTTTGAAGCAATTAACTGTGACTTAGTGGAAACCGAGACAGGGAGAGCGGCAATATTTCGCACATCATTCACAATCTTATCCACTTTCTGTTCGGAGCAGTGGAAATTGCTGCGACCAGACGTTTGCATGGTTGCACCCAGTACGTCAACTTCCAATGCTAGCGGGATATCTGGAAACAAACACTTCGCCTGGGTTCTGGCGAGTGTGGTTGTCGCCCAGAGTGTACACTTGTCGGGATTAAGTTTCTGACCAACCAGCTTATTCCACTGGCGAGTTACCTCGAAAGCACGGTGTAGAAGATCAATGTTTCGAAGTCTGACCCAAATATAGGCGTCATCAATGAAGGCTTTGAATGAAACCTCAGGTAAGATCGACATGAAACGTGCCCACACGGCCATGTAGACGTTTATGGCAATGAGGGAAAGGCTACATCCTTGAGCAACTCCGTTGGCACTGGTGACAGCGATATTGGAGACCCACCCTCGGAATGACAGGTGTTTTCGCATGGAGCCATACATTTTGAGGAACACATTAACGACCTTCTGGGGCATGCCAAATGCCAAGAATAGGATGGCCGCAAACTCTGGGACTATGCGGTCAAAGCATTTGGATTGATCAAGTTTGATCCCAATTACAGAATCTCCTTCTGCAGCTGCTTGATCAAGTTCAACGCGGAGACCTACATTGACAGTGGACATGTCTCTGCCCTTTATTCCCCCACATAGTGCAGTGGAAAAGACTTGTTTTTGCCACTGCTGGAGCTGGCGGAACCGAGTACCGGTATATGCCAAAATAAGTGGAGAAAGGATAGTTATCAACCTCTTGTTTAAAGGAGTGGAAGGACCTACTTTATTGAGTATGATTTGCTTTGCAGTGACCAGAACCTGCGGCATGTCGAATTCGAGATCTTCCTCCAAGGAACGGAAGAAAACAGCAATCTGGTTGCAGCAGCTCATGGGTAGGGCTTGGAGCTCTGAAGTTCTCCAACCATCTAAACCAGGAGCAGCCAAAGGCTTGCGCTGCTGGATAGTGGCCATGATTTCCGCGCCCGTCAAAGGAGGGATGTCAAAGGTCGAGATTTGTTGGTCAAGATATGGCCAAATGACCTGGAGCATCTGTGTGGGGTCATCCCTTAACACATTTGCACTAAACACATCGTCCCATGTTGAGCTGATGACCTGCATGGCTTGACAAGGATTGTAAACGATGTTCTCGTCAGAATCCAAGACCAGATTTGCAGGTTCATCACATGCTTTATTGCGGAGGTGGTGGTAGATGAAACGTTTAGTGCCCATGGCCGACGATTGGATCTTGCTTTTCCAGTTCTGGATTCGTTTGGTTTTCAAGCATGCTTCCGATTCAATGGCTTGCAACTTGATCCATTGGATGTTCACATGCACATCCTGTAGTGTCGGTGACGAAGGAGAGCCCCATAGGTGCGGGGCATCCCATTCTTGCAAAGCCCTCCAGGCTCTTCCACAGGTTCTTTGGGTAATTATGGCATCTGACAGTGTGGGAGACGGTCTTTGGATGCGGGTGTAGATCTCCCACAGGCGATTCAGGGTATTATAAAGTCTGGAGGCTTTGTGAGTAGTAGCAACACCACTGGGAAGTTGACCCGGGAAAATCATTTTCTTACGAAAGACTGGTGGGGCACCCCGAACTCTTTTGCCGTGACCCCATGTGGCACCTGCAGTAGTCAGTGTTTGGAGGCAAAATTCATTCACAAGTTGCCATTTGTGTGAGGCATCAGAAGCCTTCTGATAGCGTGAATGAAAATGGTTGTCCCAAACCTTATCCGCAATTTCATCCATACCTGAACCCACTTTAGACGTAGGTTTAGGGAGGGTACAAGTGTCAAGTGGGGCAGTTTTGACATGGATGCTCCCAACAAGCTGGAGTTGATCCCACTGGAATTTGGCTCTAATGGGTCTATGCTGGGAGTCGGAGGTAGCAAGGACTTCAATGTGGGACAAAGCAGCAAAGGCAACCTGGTTGACCAAAATGCCATCGATGGAGGAGCAATTGTCTCCGGGTCCACTAAAAGTGCAGTCCCTGGAATAGGTCAAAGGCCTCGAACAGGTCCCATCCTCTTGGACCTGAAGAAGGGGATCCTGCCACCCATGGAAGTTTACCGCCTCGGAGGCACTTGTGTAGTTCATGGGGTCCATTTGAAAATCTCCAGCAACAATGATAGGGATACTGCCGAACTGAACGGAGATTTCCAAAACATCCTTTAAGAGGTCATTGTTGAAGTTATGCGTCTCAACACAAGTTGAAGCCCCGGCTTTCAAGTACACTGAGAAAACTAAGACTCTCAGGGAAGTGGAGGCTTGGACCCACACAGCATTGACTCGTTTGGAATCAAAAACCTTTGCATATTTGCCAGACGAGTCGGACTCAGGGTTAAACGGGGCAGTGATTTCGGCCGGTGCGATCACAGCCGTCCCCCCATGCATTGTGGTGTGGTGGCCGTCGGCCCTAATAATCCCTGGAAGTAGAGCACCGCAAAACAGTGTTCTCCCGGTGGCGGCAACATCATTCGAAGATTTCCGAAAATTATTCTTGCCAATTCGTGTTTCTTGAAGACACATGACGACGTCATCCGACCCCTTCCA